ACCCACTGTGGCTAGGGCGAGACTGAACTCAATGACCCTACGCCCGCCGGTTGGCCGACGATGGCTCGGGGGTGTCCCGCTGATGTCCCGCGGTGTACCGTGGCGCGGTGTCCCCTGGTGTCCCGTGGTATCTTGTGGTGTCCCATGGTGTCTCGTGGTGTCCCGTGGTTCTCCGTGGTGTCCTGTGAGGTCGACTGTGAGATCGATCGTAAGATCGACCGACAAATCGATGGTGAGATCGATAGTGAGGTCGACTTCGAGATCGATAGATAGCGAGAGCGAAGATGGAGGGAGATCGATAGTGAGATCGATAGGTAGATAGAGAGTGAGATCGATAGAACTGGCCGAACAGGTGCTCCGTGTTCCCCGACTGATCTCCGCCGAATCCGATCCGGCCTCGACCGCTCACCGAAAGCTGAACTCCCCCCCCCCCACAGCCTCCTCATCACCCGAGGGGGTGGTCGTATAGGTGTTCCTGTACGGCCACCCCTCGAGCGAGGAGGAGGTTGGGGACACCACGGACACCACGGCACACCACGGGACACCACGGGACACCGCGCCACGGGACACCGAGGGACCCCACGGGGCACTGGCGGGGCATCCCCGAGCCGCCGCCGGCCAACCAGGCGGCGCAGAGCCATGGAGCCCAGCTTCGCCCCAGCCACGGCGGGCGCACGCCTCCCGCCCGCCCGCGCCGCTGCGCCTCGCCTCGCCCGCGCGACACGAGCACGACACCGACCCCGATTTCCCGGTGGGGGGTCTCCGTTTCGCTTCGAACTCTCGGCGGCCCCCGGGGTCGACAGAGTAGAGTACACCAGAGTAGGGCACATTGGAGTGGAACAAAGTATATTCTGATGGAGTAGAGAAGAACAGGGTACGATGGAGCATAATCAAGCACCAGAGTACAGCACACTAGGATTGACGATGAAATTGTAGTTTCTGGTGCAGTGCGATTGAGTTGAGTAGGATTTCCGTTTCGTCGGCGTGCACCGTTGTCGCACGTTTGCATGCGACCTTTGGGCTGGAGGAGTACACTTTGCTGGTTGCTTCTCTCGATGACTGGGCTCGCTGGCGCTGGTGCAAATTCAGGTCGTGGCTCGCATGCTTCTGTAGACCATTCTGTGGACCGTTCTTCTCAAGATGTGCATTCGGTCGACACGATGTGGCGTGACGCGCGTGAGCGAGATGGCGCCGTGCAGGAGGGACAACGGGCCTGCCTGCTCCCTGCCCGCCCCTCTGACACCTGCCCCCCCCCGCGCCGCCGACGCCTCGACCCCAGAGCAGCATGCTGCTCGAGCATGTCGCTTTCCATGTCCTACTACCACCGGACGGTCCGCAGTGCCCCGGGCGCCACGACAGCCCCCCGCACGCTCGCAGCCATGCTGCGCGCCCTGCTCGTGCTGCTGCCGGCCGCCGCCGCGGACGGCCTCAGCGAGCCGCGGCAGGCCCCTAAGAAGGCGGGGCCGCGGGGGGGGGAGCGGGCACGAGCGGGGAGGGGCCTGGCAGCAGCAGCAGTCCGAGCCAGCAGCTCTCGGAGGGCTGCCCGCGTCCTCTGCTGGGGACAGATCGGGGCAGAGCGGAGCACACGTGCGCCGAGTCACCACGAGTGCGCCCCTCCAGGGCGCACTCCGATCGGGCGAGACCCCGATTCGATGTGGATTCTGGCTGGCCCGATCCGACTCGATGCCCACATACTCTGACGGTCCGATGCGGCCCGATGCTTGCATGGCGCTGTTGTGCGTCCTGACGGAGGCGATCTTATCCAATCTTGGCTCCCTGCCGATGCAGCCCGATCCGGCGCACATGTCGAGCCGGCACGAGCTCCCGACCTGGTGCTGACGGACCCTGGTCCTCGCAGGCAGACTCGAGGGCACCACGCACGCCGCCGCCGCCGACGCCTCCTCCTCCTCCTCCTCCTCCTCCTCCTCCTCTCCTTCTAACTTTTTGGCCGCCTCGCTTTGCGTGTGCCCAGACACGCCAGAATCCAGAGGCACAGGCCCCACCGCTTGGTCTGAGCCAGGCCAGGATGCGGTTCGTTCGTCGTCGTCGTCGTCGTCGTTGTCGTTGTCGTCGTCATCGTCGTCGTCGTCGTCGGCGTCGTCGTTCGTTCTTTCGTTCATTCGTTCGTTCGTTCGAGGACACCACGCGCGCCGCTCGGTGGGAAGGGGCCCAGATGGCCAGCAGAGTTTCAGGCGCCAGGGCGCGGTCCAGGGTTCTGCCGTGGTCCTCCCACGACACGTGCTGGTCGGAGCAGCACTCAGATCGGCTACGCGGAAGAGTGACCTTTCGCCAGTGTGACTTTTGGTGCGGGCCCAAGGTGTCCCCCCATAATTGGCCTGTACCCTTGGATTTGGCGTCCCTGCGGCCCCCTACAGCAGCGCACCAGGGTCACGCAAACGGTGATGATAATGATTCGTTCAAAGATTGCCAAGATTCCTCCTATTTCCAAGATTCCCAGCCGTTTTGGCCGAGGCAATTTTCGCAGAATCAGCTTGTCGAACGTGCGAGCTCGGCTCGGCTCTACCCGCGCCATGGCCCAACGCGCCTCGCTCGGGGCTGCCGCTGGCCTGGCGGCCGTCGCTTGCTTGAAGCACAGCCAGTCCTTCGTGTCCTCGCAGGTTGCGCCCCGCGCCGCCGTCGAGGAGACGCTGCAGGCTTCCCCTGCGGAGGCGGCCCCCGCCCTTCGCGGCGCCGCGCACGCCCAGCAGCCCAGCCCCACGGGGGGAGCGGCGGCCCTGGCAGCGCCGGCGGCCGCCGCCGCCCTCGCCGCGGCGGTCGGGTCCAAGCGCCGCGGTCGTGCCAGCAAGCTGGCGGCCGGCCAGGCCTCGCGCGTTGTTCCGGTCCAATCGCGCGCCAGCGTGGCCCGCCGTGCCTTGGACCAGTCGAGCCGCTACGCGGACCTCTCGCTGACGGAGGAGGACTTGATCAAGAACGGCCAGCACGTGCTGGTGGCCTACATCATGAAGCCCAAGGCGGGCTACGACTACCTGGCCACCGCGGCGCACTTCGCGGCGGAGTCCTCCACTGGCACGAACGTGAACGTGTGCACCACCGATGACTTCACAAAGACTGTGGACGCGCTCGTCTATTACATCGACCCAGAGAATGAAGAGATGAAGATCGCCTACCCGACGGCTTTGTTCGACCGCAACATCACCGACGGCCGCGCCATGATGTGTTCCGTGCTGACCTTGAGCATCGGAAACAACCAGGGTATGGGCGACGTCGACTACGGCAAGATCTATGATATCTATTTTCCGCCGCAGTACCTGCGCTTGTTCGACGGGCCGTCGTGCTGCGTGATCGACATGTGGCGCATCCTGGGCCGCGGCACGGTCGGCGGTGGCCTGGTGGTCGGCACCATTATCAAGCCCAAGCTCGGCTTGCAGCCGAAGCCCTTCGGCCAGGCGTGCTATGGCTTCTGGCAGGGCGGCGACTTCATCAAGAACGATGAGCCGCAGGGCAACCAGACGTTCTGCCAGATGAACGAATGCATCCCCGAAGTCGTGAAGGCCATGCGCGCGGCACAGGAGGAAACGGGCCAGGGCAAGTTGTTCTCCGCCAACATTACGGCGGATGACCCGAACGAGATGATCGCACGTGCCAAGTACATCTTGAACCAGATGGGCCCGATGGCAGAGAATTGCGCCTTCTTGGTCGACGGCTACGTGGCTGGCGGCACTGCGGTGACCGTTGCGCGCCGCAACTTCCCGAAGCAATTCCTGCACTACCACCGCGCCGGCCACGGCGCAGTGACCAGCCCGCAGACGCAGCGCGGGTACACCGCCTTCGTGCACACCAAGTTGTCGCGCGTCATCGGTGCCAGCGGCATCCACACGGGCACGATGAGCTTTGGCAAGATGGAGGGCGACGCTTCGGACAAGAACATCGGCTTCATGCTGCAAGACGACGTCGCCGACGGCCCCTACTACCGCCAGGAGTGGGAGGGCATGAAGCAGACCACCCCGATCATCTCGGGTGGCATGAACGCCTTGCGGCTGCCTGCGTTCTTCGAGAACCTGGGCCACTCGAACGTTATCCTGACGGCCGGCGGTGGGGCCTTCGGGCACAAGGACGGGCCGAAGCAGGGCGCGATCTCGTGCGCCCAGGGCGAGGAGTCGTGGAAGTTGTGGAAGGCAGGCACCTACGGCGACGTGAGCCTGTCGGACGGCGTCGTCGAGTACGCGAAGACGCACGAGGAGCTCAAGGGCGCGTTCTTGACGTTCCAGAAGGATGCGGACCAGATCTACCCGGGCTGGAAGGAGAAGCTCGGCTACACGGGCGAGTCCTCCGTCCAGGCGGCCAGCTTCAATTGGCAGAAGAAGGACTTGGCCGCGGCGTTCGTTGGCGCCAGCAAGACTCGCAAAGCGAGCTCTGTGACCCGCCAGGCCCTGGACCAGTCGAGCCGCTACGCGGACCTCTCGTTGACGGAGGAGGACCTGATCAAGAACGGCCAGCACGTGCTGGTGGCCTACATCATGAAGCCCAAGGCGGGCTACGACTACCTGGCCACCGCGGCGCACTTCGCGGCGGAGTCCTCCACTGGCACGAACGTGAACGTGTGCACCACCGATGACTTCACAAAGACTGTTGATGCGCTCGTCTATTACATCGACCCAGAGAATGAAGAGATGAAGATCGCCTACCCGACGGCTTTGTTCGACCGCAACATCACCGACGGCCGCGCCATGATGTGTTCCGTGCTGACCTTGAGCATCGGGAACAACCAGGGTATGGGCGACGTCGACTACGGCAAGATCTATGATATCTATTTTCCGCCGCAGTACCTGCGCCTGTTCGACGGGCCGTCGTGCTGCGTGATCGACATGTGGCGCATCCTGGGCCGCGGCACGGTCGGCGGTGGCCTGGTGGTCGGCACCATTATCAAGCCCAAGCTCGGCTTGCAGCCGAAGCCCTTCGGCCAGGCGTGCTATGGCTTCTGGCAGGGCGGCGACTTCATCAAGAACGATGAGCCGCAGGGCAACCAGACGTTCTGCCAGATGAACGAATGCATCCCCGAAGTCGTGAAGGCCATGCGCGCGGCACAGGAGGAAACGGGCCAGGGCAAGTTGTTCTCCGCCAACATTACGGCGGATGACCCGAACGAGATGATCGCACGTGCCAAGTACATCTTGAACCAGATGGGCCCGATGGCGGAGAATTGCGCCTTCTTGGTCGACGGCTACGTGGCTGGCGGCACTGCGGTGACCGTTGCTCGTCGCAACTTCCCGAAGCAATTCCTGCACTACCACCGCGCCGGCCACGGCGCAGTGACCAGCCCGCAGACGCAGCGCGGGTACACCGCCTTCGTGCACACCAAGTTGTCGCGCGTCATCGGTGCCAGCGGCATCCACACGGGCACGATGAGCTTTGGCAAGATGGAGGGCGACGCTTCGGACAAGAACATCGGCTTCATGCTGCAAGACGACGTCGCCGACGGCCCCTACTACCGCCAGGAGTGGGAGGGCATGAAGCAGACCACCCCGATCATCTCGGGTGGCATGAACGCCTTGCGGCTGCCTGCGTTCTTCGAGAACCTGGGCCACTCGAACGTTATCCTGACGGCCGGCGGTGGGGCTTTCGGGCACAAGGACGGGCCGAAGCAGGGCGCGATCTCGTGCGCCCAGGGCGAGGAGTCGTGGAAGTTGTGGAAGGCAGGCACCTACGGCGACGTGAGCCTGTCGGACGGCGTCGTCGAGTACGCGAAGACGCACGAGGAGCTCAAGGGCGCGTTCTTGACGTTCCAGAAGGATGCGGACCAGATCTACCCGGGCTGGAAGGAGAAGCTCGGCTACACGGGCGAGTCCTCCGTCCAGGCGGCCAGCTTCAATTGGCAGAAGAAGGATTTGGCCGCGGCGTTCGTTGGCGCCAGCAAGACTCGCAAAGCGAGCTCTGTGACCCGCCGGCCCTGGACCAGTCGAGCCGCTACGCGGACCTCTCGCTGACGGAGGAGGACCTGATCAAGAACGGCCAGCACGTGCTGGTGGCCTACATCATGAAGCCCAAGGCGGGCTACGACTACCTGGCCACCGCGGCGCACTTCGCGGCGGAGTCCTCCACTGGCACGAACGTGAACGTGTGCACCACCGATGACTTCACAAAGACTGTGGATGCGCTCGTCTACTACATCGACCCAGAGAATGAAGAGATGAAGATCGCCTACCCGACGGCTTTGTTCGACCGCAACATCACCGACGGCCGCGCCATGATGTGTTCCGTGCTGACCTTGAGCATCGGGAAACAACCAGGGTATGGGCGACGTCGACTACGGCAAGATCTATGATATCTATTTTCCGCCGCAGTACCTGCGCCTGTTCGACGGGCCGTCGTGCTGCGTGATCGACATGTGGCGCATCCTGGGCCGCGGCACGGTCGGCGGTGGCCTGGTGGTCGGCACCATTATCAAGCCCAAGCTCGGCTTGCAGCCGAAGCCCTTCGGCCAGGCGTGCTATGGCTTCTGGCAGGGCGGCGACTTCATCAAGAACGATGAGCCGCAGGGCAACCAGACGTTCTGCCAGATGAACGAATGCATCCCCGAAGTCGTGAAGGCCATGCGCGCGGCACAGGAGGAAACGGGCCAGGGCAAGTTGTTCTCCGCCAACATTACGGCGGATGACCCGAACGAGATGATCGCACGTGCCAAGTACATCTTGAACCAGATGGGCCCGATGGCAGAGAATTGCGCCTTCTTGGTCGACGGCTACGTGGCTGGCGGCACTGCGGTGACCGTTGCGCGCCGCAACTTCCCGAAGCAATTCCTGCACTACCACCGCGCCGGCCACGGCGCAGTGACCAGCCCGCAGACGCAGCGCGGGTACACCGCCTTCGTGCACACCAAGTTGTCGCGCGTCATCGGTGCCAGCGGCATCCACACGGGCACGATGAGCTTTGGCAAGATGGAGGGCGACGCTTCGGACAAGAACATCGGCTTCATGCTGCAAGACGACGTCGCCGACGGCCCCTACTACCGCCAGGAGTGGGAGGGCATGAAGCAGACCACCCCGATCATCTCGGGTGGCATGAACGCCTTGCGGCTGCCTGCGTTCTTCGAGAACCTGGGCCACTCGAACGTTATCCTGACGGCCGGCGGCGGGGCTTTCGGGCACAAGGACGGGCCGAAGCAGGGCGCGATCTCGTGCGCCCAGGGCGAGGAGTCGTGGAAGTTGTGGAAGGCAGGCACCTATGGCGACGTGAGCCTGTCGGACGGCGTCGTCGAGTACGCGAAGACGCACGAGGAGCTCAAGGGCGCGTTCTTGACGTTCCAGAAGGATGCGGACCAGATCTACCCGGGCTGGAAGGAGAAGCTCGGCTACACGGGCGAGTCCTCCGTCCAGGCGGCCAGCTTCAATTGGCAGAAGAAGGAGTTGAGCTGATCGTTTCCAGATCCACGCCACCGTTTCACGTATCCTGTTGGTGTTTCGAGTGCATTTTGAGCGCTTTATTTTAGCATACCGTTTTCGAGTCGGCCAGCTTGCTCTGGGCAAGCGGCTGGCTAGCACTCAATTCGTGTCTCGTAGGGCCAGCGTTTAATCATGTCAGCGATCTGTGTGCAACGTGCACAGTCGTCGCGCCCATTCTTTATTAGCGGGTAAGCTTTCGCACAAGCATTCTGCCAGCTGCCCAGCCTCGTATTTGACGCGCCGAGTGCAAATTTAGGGGAACGAGCAATGACATAAACATAACAACTCGGAGGTCCGCGTGGGATCTGAGAAATCCGCGCGGACCTCCGAATTTTAATGTTTACGTTATTCTTCGTTCCCCTAAAAGCAGACCTCTGATGGGGCGGGCGTTTGCCAGAACAGAAAAAGGCATGGGCAGGGGCCGCCATCGATAACCATCGGGTATTTTTTTGCAGACGCCAGCCTGCTGCGCGACGCCCTCGAGGGGCGCTGCGCGTACCAGGGGCACCCCCAGTATCCCTGTCAGAAAATAGGAGGGGAAAAATACACAGACACAATTCGTCGTCGATCCCCAGGACAGTATAGGAAAATAGGGGAAGTGTGTGGGGGGGGGATAGGAAAATAGGGGAAGTGCGTGGGGGGGGGGGGAAGGCGATAACCCAGAAAGTACGGGAACATATTCGTAATCCTGGGATTTGTGTCCATGTGTCTGTGTGTCCCTGGGCCCCTCTGTATAATTCTTTACGCTTCGCGTATCCCCACCAGCCCATCTCAAAACAGCAACTCTTGCGAAGCATGCCGACAGTCGTGTTTTTCAGGCGTGTTTCCGCCTGCCCCCGCATATCTCCCCTGTTCCTCCTTCCTCCCGCCTCCTTGTACATCCTCCTTGTGGTGGGAGCGGGAGAAGGACGAGGCGGAGGAGGAGGGAGAGAAAGCGCTCCTCGTGGTTTGAGTCGTTTGGGGTTTCTTGTCCTGGTGTGAGTCGTTCGGGCCCTTCTTCCTGGTGTGAGTCGTTCGGGCTCTTCGTGATGTGAGTCGTTCGGGCTCTTCGTCCTGGTGTGAGTCGTTCGGGCTTCTCGTGGTGTGAGTTGTTCGGGCCCCTCGTCCTGGTGTGAGTCGTTCGGGCCCCTCCTCCTGGTGTGACTCGTTCGGGCTCCTCGTGGTGTGAGTCGTTCGGGGCCCTCGTCGTGGTGTGAGTCGTTCGGGCTCCTCGTGGTGTGAGTCGTTCGGGCGCCTCGTCCTGGTGTGAGTCGTTCGGGCCCCTCCTTCTGGTGTGAGTCGTTCGGGCTCTTCGTGGTGTGAGTCGTTCGGGCCCCTCGTCCTGGTGTGAGTCGTTCGGGCTCCTCGTGGCGCGAGGCGTTCGGGCACCTCGTCCTGGTGCAAGTCGTTCGGGCCCCTCGTAGTAGTAGAGTAGTAGTAGTAGTAGTAGTAGTAGTAGTAGTAGTAGTAGTAGTAGTAGTAGTAGTAGTAGTAGTAGTAGTAGTAGTAGTGGTAGTAGTAGTAGTAGTAGTAGTAGTAGTAGTAGTAGTAGTAGTAGTAGTAGTAGTAGTACAAGTAGTCGTATCCAAGGCAGTTTGGAGGCCTCTTGGAGATCGTAGAGGGGCCTCTTGGGCTCTCTTTTGAGCCTCTTGGGAGCGTCCGGGGGCCCTCTTGGGCGCCTCTTGGAGCGTCTTGGGGGCCTGTTGGGGCCATCTTTGGGGCGATCGATCACAGATGGGGCGAGCATTTTTGTCAGTACCCCCGTCGGGGCCACGATCCTCGTGAGGGGTGTCGAATTTTAGCCCTCCCAGGGATAGAAAAAGGACCCTCTGACCACCCGCGAAACCCCCTCTCCAGGTCCAGGGGGAGGGGGTAGGGGGAGGGGTAAACCCCTCCCCGAAGGGGAAGAAGGGGGGTTGAGAACAGAGAGAGCTCGCTAAACCACTCACGCCCAAAGGGCTGGTGGGACTCGTGGGGTCCCAAACCCGGGTAGCAGGGCGCCCGAAGGGCGTGGAAAGGCTTGGCGACGAACTCTGGAAGGACCTGGGGAGAGCTTCCGAAGGACCTTCCGGAGAGCGTCCGGGCACGCGTCTTGGGAAGCCCGCGGAAGAGGCCCCTCGGGACCCGCTGCAGCTTCGAGCAAGCTGCCCCCGACGCTGGACAGCGGCGCCGGAACGATCTCCGGGGCTCCCCGGGGCTCCGGCGTCTCAGTCTCAAGCCCTCTCAGAAAGCGTAGGAACAGCGTCGTAGTCTTGGGACGCGTGTCTGTGTTTTTGTGTGTCCCTGGGCTCCTTTTGTATAATGATAGCAGCAGGGCGGTGTGACCGCGGGGCGCCCGCGCATGGTCCGAGGTTTTGAGGGAAGTGGGGGGGGGACGAACACCCAGAATGTCTAAGACAATGTGGGTCCTCCTGGGATTCATGTCCATGTCTTTGTGTGTCCCTGGGCCCCTTGTGTATAATAATAATAATAACAACAGGGCGGTGTGACCGCGGGGCGCCTGCGCATGGTTCGAGGTTGTGCCGCCGCGTGGGCTTTGCCCGCGCTGCCCACGGGGACGGTGGGCCTGTGGACGAATCGTCGATTTCCAGGAAAACACATGGGGAAGCTGTGGGAGATGGGGGGGGGAAGGGCGAAAAAGCCCAGAGGATGCGGAAAAGCAGGGGGAGTCCTTGGATTTGATGCCAAGTGATCGCGGGGCGCCCGATGATGATCCAGATTTTGCCGCCAAGTGCGCTTCGTGTTTGTGATGGCGGGTGGGGCGGGGGGGGGCGGCGTCGGCATGGTTTCGAGCCTGCGGCCGGCTCCCGCTGCCGCGGCCGGTCGAGCCGCCTCCGGCCGCGGCAACGGGAACGTCCCAGATCGACGAGCAAAGAACGGCAGGAGCTCAGGCTGCTGGAGCTCCGCGCGGGTTCCTTGGATCGGCGCCGGGCCCCCTGCCTGGCGCGCGTGGGCAGCGCCGGAGGCGGGGCCCAGCGCCGCTCCGAGGGATCCTGGCGGAGCCCCGACAGTCTCTGTGACTGCCGTTTTTTTTGTTGTTGTTGTTGTTGTTGTTGTTGTTGTTGTTGTTGTTGTTGTTGTTGTTGTTGTTGTTGTTGTTGTTGAACATTATTAATTCTAAAGAATAATTATTGTTGGGACCCCTGGTGCACGGCCCCCCTGCGCCGCCTAGGCCGCAGCTACATTTTCATCATTTTCGTGAGGAAGCCTCAGGTAATTCGATGTGATCAAGATCCGGTTGTTTTGTTGTAATCCGCTTTCCCTTGCAAAAAACACTATAAAATGACATTTCTTGTTCTAATATAATCAAATTTCAAGAATCCCTTGCAAAAAATAAGGTAAAGTGGACATTCGCGCGCGCAAGACGAAATCCTTCCAAAAGCTTAGTGTTCGGAGCGATTTTAACATAAAAACATCAAAAAACCAATGGTTTTTCAACAAAAAAATGTCAAAATCTCATCCCGCGCGCTCTTGCGGATTCGTAGGAAAACCAACACTTTTTAAACATTTCTGTCAAACGGGCTTTTGCGAGCAACTTTTTCGAACTTCTGCGACAACGGTTGCGCACCTGCCAGGGCCATCATCCCTGTCAAATAATACCATGCGGGACACATTCGTTTTTTCTTCGCGCGCGCACGCCGAAATCTCCAAAAACCATTGGGTTCTTAAGAATTTTAGCACCGCGCATCATAAAATCACACGAATCGCACCGTAGGTCCTCGCCATAGGTTGCGCCCTCGGCCGCCGAACGGGACAACGATCGGGACAAGCACAACCATCAGGACAACCATCGGGACAATCATCGGGACAACGATCGGGACAACCACAACCATCAGGACAACCATCGGGACAACCATCGAGACAACCATCGGGACAACCATATCCTCTCTCTCTTGTGTATTCCCACATCCCTCAGGAATTTGCCCTAAAGATGTGATCAACTATCTTGTGAGTACGTATCATGTGTATCATGTGTATCATGTACCATATGCATCATATGCAACAGATGTTCTGTGGAAGGCTTAACAACTTCTGTGGGTTAACAAGGCTTAACAACTTCTGTGGGTGTACGAACGTAGGCTTAACAACTTCTGTGGGTGTGTACTCCACGCCAGTGTAGTAGCCACGGTCGTCCGCAGGCCACGAAGTGAAGTGTCCGAACGTCATAGGGCGGGAAGCTGGGTGTGGGTGGTGGCGAAGAGTCGTGTGGATATTTGGTAGAGCTTGCACTGCCCCCCCACAAAGTGGGGGTATTGGCTGGCGTCGCATGAAAACCCTGGCACTGGTGAGAACACTGAGCGTTCGGGTAAAGTGATTGTTGTTGTTGTTGTTGTTGTTGTTGTTGTTGTTGTTGTTGTTGTTGTTGTTGTTGTTGTTGTTGTTGTTGTTGTTGTTGTTGTTGTTGTTTGTTGTTTTTTGTTTTCTTGTTTTCCCTCCCCACCCCTGCTCCAAACGTGTCTTTTTGTTGGCCCCGAGCGGTGCCTGCACGTAGGGACATCTTATTTTTTTCCTCTTAAGGAGCTGGGCCCGGCTGTCGGCGTGTGCCGGCTCGTGGCCGCCCGCCGCCGCCATCTCTGGGGTCGCGGGTTTGGCGGTTCGGGGCTCGCACTTTTGCGCTGCCTTGCGCTGCCTTGCGCTGCCTTGCGCTGCCTTGCACTGCTTTGCACTGCCTTGCGCTGCCTTGCGCTGCCTTGCACTGCTTTGCACTGCCTTGCGCTGCCTTGCGCTGCCTTGCGCTGCTTGGCGTTGCTTCGCGTTGCCTTGCGTTGCTTTGCATCGCTCTGCGGTGCTTTCCGTTGCACTGCGTCGCCTTGCGTTGCTTTTGCACCGCGTGGGGCGCACCACATGGATGGCACCTCCCAGACTGCACCACATGGATTGCACCACCTCGACTGCAGCGCGACCCCACCTCGTCCCCTTCACCTCCTGCAGGTGCAGACCTTTCCCTGTCCCTCCTTTGTTTGCGAGACGCTCCTGATGCTTGCCGCTGTCTC